CTTCCCTCAAGAAGCTTAGAAGGAAATACATTGAGCCTTGCTAGTGTGAAAGCCCTAATGGCTTTAGATGACACAGTGCTAGCTAAATACAAGGAGGTGATAAAAGCAGATTTCTTAAGGAAGTTATATTTCCCTAACTGGCCAACATGGTCCTGTAGTTTAACTTCACCGCTTTAATGGCATCCTTAAGACCCATTGCTATAAGTATACTGGGAGAAAAGCCAATTTTCGATATCTCTCATAACTTAGTTGGATGTTCTTATGTTTTTTCCTTCTTTTCATCATTATTTTCTTATACTAGTCCTCTTTTGATATTCATTCTTCCTTTTCCCTTTCTTACATTTTACCTTCACATTAAATGTTACTTGTCTGATTACTCCACAGCCATGGGGTGGAAACATTTCTTGCTACAAAGAAGTTAGAATATGGAAATTAAGCCCACAAACTTTAATCATATTAATGGGAGATTTGTATTTGGAGGCAAAAGAAAAGATGATGCATAGGTGCTTGAAACTGCTACTATTGTCTAGTGTTCTCATTGATCACAGAATGTATGGGATGAATTGTTTTCTAAAAAAGCTGGCTACACTAGTAATTTGAATTCAATAATCTTGGATTTAATGGTTGTTGTGGGTTATTCGGGCTCTTTGGCCGTGTTCTGAAGGCTGTTCTTCCTAATGTTTCGCCAGTCCCTGTGGCCGGCATCTTCAGAGGACAGCACTCTGTGCTCTGGTGTAGTTGGCTTGGGAGTGCAGTATTTATGGCTCTGAGATAGGCTTTTGTCTTTTTCTGTAGATGGGTGATTAGGGTGTCTTGTTGTGGGTGTATTGTTGTGCTAAGGAGAAGAGATTATCTGTCACTGTGGTTGATGGGTGTCATTAGCTGGTCTTTTGTGTGTAGTGATCCCTGTCCTTGTGGCTGGGTGGAGCTGGGAGCCATGTTTTGTTGAGCTTCACACCTTCCTCTTTTTGTTGAAGTTCTGCTGGTGCTTGTGGATTTCAATGGCTTCCCTGTGCAGTCTAATGTAATGATTGCTGGTGTTGTCCAGTATTTCAGTATTTTGAAATAGAATTTCATGTCCAGTTTGTTTTAGGGCATGTTCAGCTACTGCAGATTTTTCTGGTTGTTTTAGTCTGCAGTGTCTCTCATGTTCTTTGATTCTGGTGTAGATGCTTCGTTTTGTAGTTCCAATATATACCTGGCCACAACTGCAAGGTATCCAGTATACTCCTGCAGTGGTGAGGGGGTCCCTTCTGTCCTTTGCTGACCGTAGCATTTGTTGTATTTTTGTGGTGGGCTTGAATACTGTTTGTAGGTTGTGTTTTTTCAGAAGTTTCCCCATGACCCCTTTGATGTATGGCAAAAATACTTTATTTGTGGGTGGCTGTTTTTCTTCTTCAGTTCAGTGTTGTTTTCTTGGTTTGATGGCTCTTGTGATTTCATTTTTGGAGTAGCCATTTGCCTGTAGGGCCCAATTCAGATGGTTGAGTTCAGTGCTGAGAAACTGAGCTTCACAGTTCCAATTTGCACAGTCTACCAGTGTTTTGATTATGCCTCTTTTTTGCTGTTGGTGGTGGTTGGGGTTTTTGTGTAGGTACCGGTCTGTGTGGGTGGGTTTTCTGTAAACCTTGTGTCCCAGTCGGAGGTCAGTTTTGTGTAGGACCATGACATCTAAGAATGGGAGTTGGCCCTCTATTTCTTTTTACATGGTGAATTGTATATTTGAGTGGATGCTGTTGAGAAGGTTGAGAAATTCTTCCAATTTTTCTTCACTGTGGCTCCAAATTGCAAAGGTGTCATCCACATATTGGAACCAGACTGTGGGTGCGAGGGGTGCTGAAGCCAGGGCAAGTTTTTCAAAATGCTCCATGTAGAAGTTTGCTATAACCGGGCTGAGGGGGCTCCCCATGGCCACTCCATCTGTCTGTTCATAGAATTCATTATCCCACTGGAAATAGCTGGTTGTTAGGCAGTGTTGGAAGAGAGCCTTGATGTATTCTGGAAATATCTGCTGGATGAGTGTCAGGGTGTCCTTTATCGGTACCTTAGTGAACAGGGGTACTACATCAAAGCTGATCAGTCTGTCCCCAAGGTTGAGTTTTAGGGGGCTGAACTTGCTTATGAAATGTCCTGAGTCTTTGATGTAGGATGAGGTTGGATTTACAAACTGGGATATTTTTATGTTGGATTAACTTCTGCTTGTAAAAGATCAAACATTTGATAACTTAGAATGTATACTATAGTACAAGACAATTTGTTTGGTGACAACTACATGAATTTGAGGGAATACACACATTCAGTTAGTTGCAAGGCTCATGGATTTCAGTGGAGCTTACCTCAGGGAGGACCACTGCCTTGTTCCATCAAACATATTAGGCAAAGGTATTGTTGCAAGAAAGGTTTAAAACTACAGTGACAATGTGTATTTTGGAAGGATAAATGAAAGAATTCAGCATTGACTATATTTAGACAACTAATCTAAAACCACACAGAGCAGAAAAATTAATGACTCAAAAAGTATGCCACTTGACAATTGTAATATGAAAGCTCAGAATACATGCAGAGGGAAGCAAGGCCTTCCTGTTTCATATCCATCATTAATATTTCATTATTAAATTCTATTTGCAAAGCAGTTCCACAGCTTTATGGTCCTTCGGGTTTCTCATACTACAACACGTATTATTATAACTATTACTATTTTGCTGGCAAAGATTGACCATAGCATTTCCATAGGTTGCTCCCAGAATCAGATACTGTATTATAAATTACCTTCACCAGAAAATACAGATACAAAAGAGAGGGAGAGAAACTTAATTTGTGGTATCACACTGCTGTCTCTGTTACAAACTGGTTAGACTGTGTCTTTAAAGGGATTTGCTTTCAAAAACCTAGCCAAGCTTAGGCGAATCCACTCAATGCTGCTGAACATGGAAGGAAAAGTTTGAGGTAGGTCAGCAAGTGTACATACTCAGTCTTTACAATCTGTAAAGTGCTTTCAAGTTGCAACTATTCAACAGAAAGACAATATTAGTGTTTTATTTAAACACAGTTGGAATTTTTGCCAGCAGCATCTATTATTTTAAAAGAGATAAATTTTAGTGATTAGTGCTTCAATAATTCTGGGCATCCTTTTTCATGCAAAGGAATGTACACCAGATCATTTGCCTTACTATGGGTCAGTGGACTGCAGCCTTTACTACCTAAAGAAAGCAGAGCTGGTGCTTACGATAGGCTCTACGTACAATGTTCTCAGTGTAAATGTTAAACTGGTAAAACTTTGAAAATAAAATGGTTCCATGTAATCAAGTCAAAAAATAATCTGATCAGCAAGGGAGGCACTTGCCCCTCCCAAATCCAAAATGCAGTACAGTATTTCTTTAGTTGCTTCTTTTTGGCACCACATTGCAGTGGGTTCGTTGTTTTGCCTATGGCATACAAACTACAATCAACAATCCACAGGTATCATTAGTACACTTTACTCCCCTCCTCAGAATTATTTCTGCAGATTCCCTTGATTCTATGGCTGAAACCCCGTTGCTTAGTAAGTTGCACTGGAGCAGGACTATTGTATCAGTGGGAATTTGGTGAGTCAACTCTAAGTTCCAATGATTCAAATGGGCCTACTCTGTTTGTGACTTACTTACACTAAAGTATGTCACATATAGAATAAGCCAATTAAATTAACTTACGGAGGAACTTGGAGGAGTTGATTCACTGATTTAACCTACTGTAATGCCACTTACTACACTAAGCAACAGGATTTCAGCCAATTAAATACTAGTTTCATTTATAAATTAGTATCTTATGCTGTGAGAAAATCTCATCTTTTTCTGTGTGTCCCTTTTTATAAGTCTAAATTTATCCCATTGAAGGTATATTTATCTGATTTGTAAAACAGTTTTATTTTAGAGTTTTAAAATGGTTACCACTCTCATAATCCTCTACTGGGGATTGTGTTGTCATCCAAAGTAACATTTGTTATTTTATAATTTTTCTAGTTTAATAAAGTATCTTTTCCAACTTATGCTTATGCTTACTTCAGACTGCAAAGCAAAACTGTTCCAATACTAAACAAGTAGCCTGAGATCACCGGCAAATAATTTTTTCTCCAACTGATACCTATTAGACTAAGTTTTTGCTATTTACGTTGTATTTAGTTCTGTGTAGTTCATTTTAACTGTCTGTAAACCATCCAGAATAGTGCTCAAGCACTAACAGGGCAGTATATAAATAAAATAAAATAAAATCCCTCTGAGCTCTCTTGCATTGGCAGAGCTCAATGCTATGTTGACTGAAGTCAATGATGTCAATGGTGGCAAGCCACTCCGGAGGAGGGGTTGGTGTTCAGCAGCATTCTGTACCTGGCCAAAGTTTTATACTCACTACTAATGGGATCATATCATTATATCTACAAAGCTGAAGATTTAACATAATCATCATCATCATGTGTCATCAAATCAGTTCTGACTTACAGCAACCCTTTTCAGGGTTTTCCAGGTAGAGAGTACTCAGACGTGGTTTACCATTCCCTTCTTCTGGGTGTGCCATAAGACTGTGCAGCTTGACCAAGGCCACAGAGGCAGGCTCTACTAGCAGGAGGCACAGTGGAGAACTGAACTCCCAACATCTGCCTCTGCAGCCAGATGCCTAAACCACTGAGCTATCCAGCCTCTCTCTCTCTCTCTGCCGCCATAGCCATGGCGGAATAAAGTGATACTGTTTGGGCTGATCACTCTGCCTCTGCAGCCAGATGCCTAAACCACTGAGCTATCCAGCCTCTCTCTCTCTCTGCCGCCATAGCCATAGGAATAAAGTGATACTGTTTGGGCTGATCATCAGCTGACTTCTGAAAGAAGAACTGCTGAAGTTCAGACTCTCCACTGGCTCTGCCTTGTATTCTTGGTATTCACTTGACAGCTGCCTACAACTTAACCTATATGCAATCATGCTCTGCACAGCATCAGTAGCTCTGCTTGTATGTGGAATAACTGGCAGCTCACCTGACCTTGGCTCTTGTGTAGTTCTTTGTTCAAGCTTTCCCCACTCTTGGGTCATGGAAGTGCTGTTGTCCTAGAAGAGACTTAAGAATTTCCCTCAATCCAAGATCAAGGTAATCAGATCATTTAACCAAGCCCAAGATGTACTAGAACCGGCTGTGAAGCTTCCAGAAGTGGAACATTGGGAGATGGAGTATAGCAGAGAACGTTCTGTAAGCAAGGAGTTTTACTTCACTAGCCCACTGTCCAAAGAAGCCAGCATTTAATGGGCTAACAACAAACTGGCTCTTCCCGATGCCAGCGGCCTGAAGTAATGCATCTACTATCACCCACTCAAGTTAAATTGGGTAGTGTGGCTCATTAGTTACAGCAGGACTCCCTGAACCTAGTAGTCCATCACAGCCCACTTGTCCGTCAATTTAATAAGCACTTTTAACTGGACATCTAATCATGTTCTTGAAAAAAAATCCTTTTAATGCTGTTCTACTTTCTCTCTGTTTTCAATTTAATTAATTTTTTCCTCCTTTTTTTCTTTAGGATGTTTGGGGAAAAAAAATACATAAATAGCTAAATAAATAATATTGGTGCACAATGTCTTTTGTTCATGGCTAATATATGGATCTCACCAATGCATGGCATTATGCTTTGTAGTTGGTTGGGGGTTGCTAGGAATGACCTGATACTGTTTGTTTCTTGATCTGCTGTGGTATGGATTCTCTTGCCTCTTATGCAGTGTTGCTATATAAGTGGTAGCTCCAGACACCTAGCCTATTGGGACCTCAAGTTTGCCTTGCAAGAATGTTAAGTCCAGCTAATTTCAATACAAAATTGCTTCCATTGCTACTGTGCAAGAGTACTTAGAACTGTAACTTAGACACTTCAAAACTTGAAGCTCAATAAAACAACGAAACTAAGGAAACCTGGCACTCTCATTTCTGAATATTTACTCTGGTGTATCTACCTACAAGTGCCAAAAAAATTACTCCTGCAATAGTTTCCACACACAAAAAAAGGCTTGTGATAATATATTAGGGTTATGGTCAGTATTTTTATCTTAGAATTACATGTAAAAATTTAAAAGACTCGCAGTATATGCTTAGCTCCATGTATTGAAGAAACCCAGATTACATCACTGCAATATCGAAAATGGTGATATTCTGCTGGACAGAAGATAGTATTCAGCACACTAATATAGCAAAACACCAATGTCTTTGCAGCAGAGTTCTTAGAGACTCAAGAGAGAAGTTTGTAGTGCCTCTATAAAAATCATAATTCACAATATGTTCAGCCTAACACTGTCATGCAGTCTTCCATTTTCCTCAGAATGTGACACTGGTTCAGAGTATTTCAGTCTCATCAGAACAAATGGACACTACAAAATTTTGCACAAATTTTGCCATGGTTGCACAAGTATAAAATTTAGTATCAAATTCCTCTATGTTAATATAACTGTAAAGTATATATCAATGGTTTTATGGCCATTAACAGCAAACGTCAAGGCTTACAGACCAGCAGATCACCAGCTGTCAGACAAATGAGAGTGTTGTGTCAAATTACTGTGTGATGTCATTGTGTCTCTTGTCACTACCACTAGTTTCCCTGAAAATAAGACAGGGTCTCATATTAATTTTTGCTCAAAAAACCACATTAGGGCTTATTATCAGGGGATGTTTTTTTTTTTTCATGTACAACAATCTATATTTATTCAAATACAGTAATTTCATTTTCTTCTGGTTGCTGCACAATGGTGGAGGGTGGGGTTTCACTTAACTAGGGCTTATTTTTGGGGTAGGGCTTATATTAGGAGCATCCTGAAAAATCATACTAGGGCTTATTTTCAGGTTAGGTCTTATTTTCAGGGAAACAAGGTAGTCGGGGACCACAAGGGAATAGGAAGGCACACTGACAGGGCCTCCAAGGCAGTGATATTTACTTACAAACCTTGCCGTAGTTGTCCATCAGTGTCTCCAGTGACTTATCTCTTGCTCCTTGCATATTAGCATGTGAGCTAAATAGCTTCCACAGTCCTGCATTTACAACACTATAGAATTAGAAGCTCTTTTTTTTCTGCTTTTAATCTTTACCATCCTTTCTTTTTTTAAGTTCTGCTATAATACTGGTTGGACATCTGAACTGGAGATGAGCATGAACCTCGGTTCAGAGGTTTGTGCCAATTCGTACATACGTCATATATAGTTTATTTTTCTTGTAGTCTTGAAAAGGAACAGTACTGGATTGAGACTGATAGATCTGCACAAAGATACCAACAGGAGTATAATTCAGATTGGAGATGGGCACGAACCTTGGTTCGGATGTTTGTGGCGATTTGTACATGTGGCCCCACAGGTGCTGTATGTTCCCTTCTCCCACCTCCTCAGCAAATGGCCCACTCAGCAGTTGGCGTGTACTCCTCTCCTTCTCCTCTTCAGCTCTTCAACCAGCCTCCAGCTCCTGCTTCCCTGCCCCACCTGCTTGGCTGATCGCCCACTCAGACAAACAAACCCATGTTCCTGCCAGGGACTGGTCAAACAGACAAAGAGGAGGAGGAGGAGAGCGCTGCATTTTTAAGGCCAGAGGCATAAGCACATGCACATACAAATACGCACCAGTATTGTACTTAAGGTCAATTAATTAGAATTATAGAAACTATAGACCTAATAAGTTGTATTTTATGGCTTATTTCATAGACAAAATGCACAAGAAGCTTGCTATCAAGTGCAGGGAAGGGCTAGTTTTTGCTGGGTCATGCAATGATTTGAAACAACAAGTAGAATAGAGTTGCAGCTGATGGTGCAACTAGCTTGTATTTAGATAACCAACTATTTATCTGACAAGTGGAGTAGCAAGTGTGGACTACCTATCTGGGGTGGGGGGCAAGGGGACAGAAAAAGCAGTTAACCCCAAAAAGGATGACCCTCTTTTACCAGAGAAGGTCAGGCTAAAAAGCTGAAAAGGCCAATCTTTATCTAGATTTTAACATAATTAAATGAGATCACTTTAGTCCTAGAAGGTGGAGCTAAAAGGGTTAAAAGCTGTGGGTCAGGAAATCTTAGGGTATTGTCTAAAGTTTCTTGGAGTTCAGTATTTTCTGTGGCTCTCAACTGAGGGCCACCCACTTAATCTTGTACACACATTGCTCTTCCTTGGAGAGAATAAGGAATCTTTACTTCTTTTGTGCCTTATCTTATTTTCTGCTAGGAGTAACATGTTAAATAAGCTTGTTTAACCTCAATCTTCGGGAATCCTTAGGGAGCAGACTGACTGTATGACCTTCTTTCCGGAGGCAGTCATTCAGGCAAACCATAAGGCTGGTTGGAATCTGGTTTCAAAAACGTCTTCCGTTATCCTTGATGAGCTATGAACCTGCACCCACTTACAGTAACATGATTCTGGAGTGCAGCCTTATTTCCATTCCATCCTGATTGCCTCTAGCTTGCTTAGAGCCTTGCAAGCATGCACGCCTAAACAAGCAGCTGTTGCAGCACATCATGCATTTGGGCATTTCTTCACATGCATTTATTAAGGCCATTTTGGTGCCCTGAGATGAGTTTGTATTGGCTGCTCAGCTCTCTGCAGTGGCTGACAAGAGTACTGGTAGGGCAAACAGCATCTCTGCATGTCCAAATGGTCCAGAAAGGGCTTTCTGAAATGAGAACCAATTACCACAACGCTAAAGTGGATTCAGCTTCTAGTCATGCACCGTACTGAGGGAGTACACCCAGAAATCCCTTAAACGAGAGGTGTTTCACCTGGAAGTGGCCTTTAATTTTAATTCTATGAGTGCTTGTTGTGGTCATCAAATAGTGGGTGGAAGGTTACTTTGCATAAGAACCTCTGACATTTGCATCCCATAAGCAACTGGCTGGCCTTTGAGTGAATGGAATACTGGCCTTTGGTCTGATTCAGCAGGATTTCATGTTCTCTTCGTTTTCCAGGTAAAGAATGTAACAGTCCTAGCTCATGTCCACATCTGGGAGATGCAACAGCAGAGAGCTTCTGGAACAGACTTCAGACTAGTCCAAGTTAGTCCATGAAATCAGTTCTTGGAGTGTGTCACGTTTTTTGTTTCCAAGGCAGGATCCAGTTCTGTAGTCCAGCTACCCGTATGCTAGCTAGTTAGTGTACGTGTGCCCCAGGGAGGAGAAGGCGACTATAGAGGATAAAATGCCAACAAGACAAACCCTTTGTGGGCGTGGAGAGGGGAATGTAACAAGGTTGCTTCCTCCCCCCCCCCCATGAAGCAGTGTATAGTTGCAGAATGAGAAGATCGTTGAAAGTTTACTCCAATCAAAGAATTTACAAAGTTGGAAGGGACTCCAAAAGTCATCTAGTCCAACTCTCTGTCAAAGCAGCTCATCCACAGGTGAACTATTCCTTAAAAATGGCCTTTACCTAAAACTCCTCAGGGCAGGATAGTCAGCCACCTTTTGAGGCAGTCAGCACCTGCCTCGCACTGGCAGCCCGCCTCGACTCCGAAAGGTCCAAGGAGAGGAACCCGTGACAACCCTAACCCTTTGGGAAGACCCGACTTCACAGGTACAAACACGAAGCCTGACCCTGAGGGGGCTCCCCGATTACCCCGCTCCGGCATCCGAGGGCGCCCCTTCTCCAGACGCGAACCCCAATCCCTCTTCCCAGGGCGGCTCCGGCCCCTCACCTGAGAAGTCGGCCAGCGCGGCGCTCTCTTTGGTCCAAAGCAAGAGGAGCCAGAAGGCGAGGTGGAGGGGCGGCGGCGGCGGCGGCGGCGGCAGCTGACCCTGAGGGGGCTCCCCGATTACCCCGCTCCGGCATCCGAGGGCGCCCCTTCTCCAGACGCGAACCCCAATCCCTCTTCCCAGGGCGGCTCCGGCCCCTCACCTGAGAAGTCGGCCAGCGCGGCGCTCTCTTTGGTCCAAAGCAAGAGGAGCCAGAAGGCGAGGTGGAGGGGCGGCGGCGGCGGCGGCGGCGGCAGCCGAGCCGGGNGCACCGGGCTTGGGAACGCAGCCCCGGCAGGCGGGCGTCGGCAAGAAAGGGGCGGGATCCGGACTGGCGAGGGCAACCCGAAAGGGCGCGTAAAAGGCTCTCTCTTTCCACCACCACCCCTCGTGAAAAAGTTAAGTGCGCAACGCGCGAGGTCCCCTGAGCGCGCCCGCGCGCGCGCATGTGTCTCCTGGGGTGCGGGCGC